TTTTACATGAGTTTAAAAAGCTGAGAAAAGAAGGGAGAGCAGAAAAGGCTGATGAAGTAGCCTGGAATAGATCCATGCAGAGTTTATATGAATATGCTCAGCCTTGGAGGTAGAAATCCTCCCATTGATGGCAATGGTGAGAGAAGGGACCGCAGGTGTGTCTGTTGAATCTCAGGTTGCCCAGACAGACATCCAGTGGGTGTGTGCTCAGCCCACTGAGATGTTTCAGTGCTGTTTGCTGGAGGTGGTGACCATCCTGGCAGGATGGGGCACTCAGCCTTACCTGGAGCCACGCACCGCTCGAGGCATGTGTATTTCACAGGAGGAGGTGTCAGGCTCAGCAGCTGCTGCTCTGCTCCACTTCCTGCCTGCAGAGCTGGTCCTCCCACAGCTCTGAGGCAGGGATGCCAGTTTGCTGGGGAGGCTCTGCTCTCCCTGTGAGCAGTGAGGGGTTGGCTCCCTTCAATGCCCTGCTCCTTCCTGAGTCACTTTGACAGGCAGAAACGTGAAGTGGGATAAAATGATGACAGCTGGGTTGTACTTTGGAAGTGGAAAGGAAATAGTTGGATCCATTTACAGCTTGGAGTGATGGAGCTTGAAGTACAACCAATAGCAGTTACTTTACCAGTGTCAGAGTTGAATCAGAAAGGATGGTTTGGTTGGTATAGTTCAGCTGATTGCTGGATATTTTAATCCAGATGGTTTCTGCAAGGCTGACAGTTTCATGACTGACGATACTGAAGTAATTCTGCTACCTTCAGCAAAGTCATTCAGGATTTATTCTGAGAATGTAGTTGTGTTAATTCATTTTTCTGACTTGACAGGCAAAAATCCTGTGTTGCAGTGACCTTTATGTGAATGGGATGTCCTTTGAAATAGCCAGGAAAATAGTCGTCTTCTCATGTGCACGGGGAATACTTGTTACCTTTAACAATAGCTATGTGTATGTGTGAAACCACACATGAGTGATGTGCTGGGCATCAGTAAAAGAGGGAATAGGGTTCTGAACTCTTGTGCTGTTCCTAGGCTGGTTTGGTGTAGCTCTTACTTGTAGTGACAATGCAAGTAAGAGCTTAAGCAAGCTTCTGGAGATTATAATAACCAAAGATGTTTCTTTTGATTTGTTAATGCCACTGTAATTCTTTCCAAAATTAGGAGAAACTTGACATTCTAGATCAGCTGGTGACCAAATGGCCAAGCACTTGATGTTCCTGGCAGGTGCTGATAGAGGAACTCTATGTTTCACCCACCAAATGTGGTGGGTTTTCAGTTGTTTTATTTTTTTTTTCTGTCTGCTGTTTCTGAAATGTAGAAATTTTTTGCTATAGATACATCAATAAATTTAAAGAGTACTATTGGTTTTGTCCATTTTGTGCAGTCTGGGAGGGTTTTTTTATTTGTGGTGGTTTTTTGGTTTTTTGACAGAGTCTTATGGTAGGTAAAAGCTACTTTTTGAGTGGCTGACTCATAAAGTGTTTGGCTTGAGAAGATAAATTTAGACAAATAATTGACTTTTAAAAGAAGCTTTTAGTTTATTTCAATTCCAAAATTTTCATCATAAATATGGAATAGCAGTGGCATTATTTTTTTTAATTTAATGGAAAAAAATGATTTCTAAATTTTCTGTTGATAAGAATTAGTTTCATAAATGATTTTGGAAGAATAAAATAATTTCAGATATTTTTTCAGATAGAATACTATAATTTCAGATATAATTCAACTAAATTAGGTTGAAAATGAAAACCAGGTGGCCTTTTATTCCAACTCCCTACAGGTAAGTAAATGTAGTGATCCTGGAAAAAGAGTGTTTACACAAAGTTGGTTACTATAAATAAACTTTTGCTTATTGCTCAGTATCATTAGTGTTTATTAACCCAACTCACTCTGCTGAGATTCAAATTACAAATTTTCTTCCTAATATTTATATTTTAATATGAAAATATATTTTAAAACAAAATACCCTTAAAATAATCTGGAATAAATTCAGTTCAGCTTAGACATTTCTGATACTCTTGAAGAGACTTTTTTTTTACCCCAGGCAGGAAAGTTCAGAGTAGTTGTGTCATGTTGAGTGTTTTGTGCAAGCTGTGAAAATCTGTGGACGTGATGTAAACTGACATTGTCCATAATACAGCTTTATTCACTTCTCCTTCTGCTGTGATGAGTCTCCATCAAATCCTCCAATTAGTACAAAGTTATAAAATTATAGACAGATGGAAAATTTGTATTTATAGAAAAATGCCCACGGTTTTGATAGCTTGAAACTCTTGCATCTATAGATGATGTGTTAGCAGTTGAGATTTAGAGAAAACAGCTTGTTCAGGAAAACATGAAAGCTTGTGTACTTTCTGAAGCAGTAGGTCATCTAGCGATGACCATAAATTTCAGAGTTAGTTTTCTGTGAATTGAAACCATCTGTGGTAAACAGTTTAAAATTAATTTGTTTGTATTGGTAAAAAGTAAGTAAATAGATAAATATACAGCAATTATTTCCTCAAATGATCATCAAAATAAAAAAAAAGTTTCAAGATCCATCTCTTGTCTCCCAGTAAATTAAAGTTTTGCAAATTCCTCCACCTTGACAGATTTGAATAGTGCACAGATCAAAAAAGTTTTAATGGGAGAAGAGATACCTGTCACTCAGTGGCCCAGAAATACTGCTGGTCTGATGGTGAGGGGCAGTAGTATGGTTTCATTAATATTGGTCTGAGTCCAGAGTAAGTCTCCTAACCTCAGCAGTGTGGTTACTTTGGAAACATAATAATAACAACAGTAATTTTTCTGATGATTCACACATTTAAATCTAATAATCTTAGAATAACATCTTAGAAGGGATCAGCGTTTGATGACAAAGGAAAGAGCTGAACTGGAGCTGTTTTTTTGCTGTCCCTGTATACAGCTAAACTAGCAACAGAGTGCTCTATGAAAGTCTGTTTTCCTGGACAGATTTCATTCCTTCCTAAAATTCATAGCTTGGAGTGACCTTCTGGATTTTCTCTTAGTGACTTTAATGTGTTTTGCTGGTGTGTAGCCAAAATTTTAGTCTCCAAGTTCTGTTCCTTTCTCAAAAGCAAACCTGGTGGTAGACTTGTTTGTGTGTGTGTACACCTGTAGCACAGTTGAATTTTAATAAAAAGAAATATCACCACCCTGTTTAGGAGATTATTATTGCTATATGCACAATGACATGTCTTTACCTAGAGAAGAACATTCTAAGTTTCTCCTGCACATCCACGTTTGTGTTGAGTCCAAGTTGCTCTACATCTGTGTTGTGAGCTTGGATATAGCCCTGGAAATCTCTACAGAGGACCTCTGCAGGGCTGTGTGCATGCAGGGGGACTCTGAGAAGTTTTGGTGTTGTGGGGGCAGAAAAAAGGAAGTGCAATATAGAAACTTACAGTGTCTGTAACATTCTATTCCCTGTGTAAGAAGTTTCTTTAGATCTCCCTTGCAGGAAGAAGTTGCAAGATTCTCCCATACTTAAATGACACTTTTACTGTTTTCCATGAAGCCAAAATATTCATGCTACTGATTCTGAATATCCCATGCTATTCTTGCCTTGTATTTTATTCACCTGGAGATCTAAGGCTGTTTCATATGTGTCATGAAATTGTTTCACTAATGCTGCTTTTCAGCATCTTAGTCTTCTAAGCCAGATTGCTGCAAATACATAATTCAGAGCTATTTAAAAGCTATGGCATGATGCTTCAGATGTTTTGTAAAGTTTAAAGTAGCAGGCCATTTGCACAAAGCCACCTGTGCATCTCGTATCCATTACAAACGGTGAGATCCAGCCACAGCAGAGGTACTTGTGCTCCTGCACGCCTCGCTGCTTCTGGAAATTCCACCCGTGCTCTCGCCTCTCTTGTGCAGCTCTGAGAGTCCCACCTGTGGCTCTCTGTTCAGAGCAGCCAAGTTTCAGGACTTGTGTCACCACCACAGCTGCTGCTTTTCCTCCAGGCTGTACATGGAGGAGTGCAAGTGTGCTTCCCTGGCACTTTCAGGAACAGTATGTCAGGGTTACCAACTAGAGGGGGGAAAGTGTCTGCAGTCTGATATCTGAGATCTGCAGTTTTTGGAAAAACATATTGAAGGCAGAAATGAGGGACAAAAAGGATTTTTCCTTTTTTAAATTTTTTATTTTTTATTTTTTATTATTTCAGAGGTGACAGCAGAAGCAGGTGATATTACGTATTTGTGGAGAAAGGACAATGAGAAGTAAAGACTTCTCAGCAAAAAGCATGCAGTAACTAAGCCATTGTGTTGTCTGATAAATAAGCTAATATAAACTGGAGGCAAAGCACCGTACACTGGGTCTGGTGGCAACACATACATTGTTGTAAAATGTTTGGGGGATGGCAAGCCAGGTGATGATTTCTTCATCTATTGCATGTTTTCAGATAGAGGCTGAAAGCAAATTCTAGAGGATTTACTCTTACAAATAAATACTAATCTTTTGGCTTAATACAGGAATAATTTAACAAAACTTAATGTCCCACAATATATTTGGTTTAGGATGACTGAAGGAAGGGTGCAGCAATTCTGAGGAATACAAAGACGTTTTTGAGAGAAGAAAAGGAACAATTTCTTCTATAGGGTTCGTGGTGGAAAGCACAAGAATAGATGGGCTTCAGTGCAGCGAGTTGTCCATAAAGAAAAATGTTCCATTCATCAAAACAGTGAAATATTGGGGGATAAAAAAAGCCTGTGGAAGTTGCAATAAAAATTTAGATGTGGTTAACTTTTTCCTTGAAAAAGAGGGAGGAACTGGATGACCTTTAAAGTTTCTCCCAGCCTTTTTTCAGGGAGCCTGTAGTGGGTACCATAGCTGCCAATTTATTTCAAACTTCCTAAATTTTGTTTGGATTATCTTTAACCCTGCTCAGCCAAAGTCTCTGAACGTCATGTAGTAGATCAGTCTAATGCCTTTACATCCAAACAAATTATATTCTACATGTAATTTCAAGGGGAAAAGTTACTATCCACCATCTTCTTTTTAGGTCCTCCAGGGAAAAGAGGTAAGCGGGGAAGAAGAGGAGAGACTGGTAAGTTTTTAATTTCATAAGATCTGTTGTCATTTGCTGTTTTTGTGAGGGTGTGTACCCAGCATGCCTTGATTTTTAGTTGTACTGCATGTGTGCTCTGAAAAAGAAATCTGAAACTTCTCTGGTAAAATATTGTGACCCTTGGCATGTATCTGGTGGCCTTCAAGATATTTCTCTGGTCTTGGGCCCCCTTAATTTGCAGGCACACTTCATAATGCTCGACACGGTGCCTTTGGTAACAGGTCTGTAAGAGTCAAACCCTTCAGGGGTGTTCTCACACATGCACAAGTTAGAATAACTCCACATAAGTCGGTAGTTGGAATACTGTGTCAGTGTTACATCAGGCCCCTTTGGCTGGAGGAGAACAATTTTATAAGGAAATAACAAAGGAAATAAAATTTCTTGTGTCGAGAATGTTGATAATCAGGGACATAATGTGATAAGTAGACTACTCTGTATGAGAGAAGTTGTTTTATAGAAATGAGCAGTTAAGTTCTAACAGAAATAAGAAAAACATTTGTTGGTTCGTTACCCTGTACCAGGGAGGTTGCTGTTGATAGAAACCTGCTGCTGGTGTGTTGCCTGAAATTTCATTTGAGGCAAAGTTATGAGATGCTGAGCACCTCTTGCTGTTGACATTCAAAGGAATTGAATCAATTACCTTGTGGGATTGAGTTTTTCATCAAGGTGAACTTTCTGGAGGCAATGCAGTAGAAAATGAGCATTTCTATTCTCCTTGGTTGTCTTGTCTAATCTGCTAGCTAGGAAAGTCTTCCAATCAACTTGATCTCTGTAAATCTTCTGTAGCCTTTCTTATCTATGTAAATGGTAATTTATCTGGCTCTTAAAAACTATTTGCATATCTTCCTGAATCACAGAATTAAAACCAAACCCTGCCAAAAGTTGATACAAATCACTTTTGTATTTCCATTCAGTGCTGTCTTGGTACCTACTTCAGAGAAAAAGGCTATGATACAGAGGGAAATTCTGTGGTTCAAGATTGAATTACAAATGATCCTGGAAATTACTTTGTGGGATTCTCATTGATTCATTTTAAATCTCAAATAAACACATGGTAAACTATTAATAAAGGAAACGGATCTCTCATTTAAGAACAGACCTGCACCTTAAAATGCTGTTTAAGAATGTTTGCCAGAATAAAGAAATTGCCTTAATTGCTGAACAATAAAAGTTACATTGTTAAAACCAAAAGCCTGTCAGTATTAAAAGCAATCTCAAAGTACAGCTGCTGCTGTTTTATACTCCTTTTGCACTTCACTTTATTCAGAAATTAGAGAGAGGCATAAAAGCTTAATGAAATGCCATTGATTTGGGAGCTGCAGCTGCTCACCTTAATAAGACTGAAAGTAGATTTGATTTGTGCCCCTTGATAATGTTTCCAAGAACTGCTACACAAAAGTCTTTGAGGTCTAAATAATTGAAAAAATGTGCAAATATCACTTCACGAAGTGTGACATTTTAATGGGGAGCATTTTATATGTGTGCCTTGAGAGAGGAAGGTGATGAAAATAAAGTTCAGCACTGTCAGGTGGCCGCTGAAACCTCCCCTCACAGGCAGAGCTGGAAGTCTGGAAGATGCTGGTACATGAATTCGTGACATGATGCCCAGGTTAAATGCCAAGGGTACTTTGTGCAATTCTGCAGCCAAGCTCTGATCCAGTGCGATTTACTGAAACTGGTGGTGTGGTTACATGTGCTTTATGTGGAGCCTGACAAAATTAATTGTATCCATGGCTGGTATTTTTGGACTGGCATGAAATTGCATGGAAATAAATGGAGAAGCAACTTTCATAAGCTTGCATGACTGTAACTGAAGATTTGTTAAGGTAAGCGCATGCATTTAGGCAGTAGTATTTACGGGTTTCAGAGCACTACCAAAGCACAAGATTACTTAAGTGGGAAAATGTTAGATCCTGTATTACCAGTGCTGCTCACTGACAATCCCAAGGCCTTGTGCTTGACTGTGTGTATCTTTCTGCAGTAACTTCTTAACCTTACGTGTTCTTTTTTCTCTTTTTTTTACCCTTTTTCCCCCTCTCCCCCACCCCACAGGACCTCCTGTAAGTACAGTGATACATTGTTGGTTCTTCCAGAATCAGGCAGAAATCTGTTAGATCCTGTTAAGTTATCAGCGTGATAAAATGATCATGTATACTCAAGAGGGAATTTTGATATTTATACACACACAGTTTCTTGGAGATGAATAATTTAATCAGAAAGTTCATTAAGAAAAGAGTCTCTAAAGCAATAAAGCTTTATGTTCAGCGCTCCAGATTGCCATTTGGATTCACAACTCCATGTAAGTATGTTATACTCATTTTGCCTGTGCCTTCATAACAGATATTTTACTGAAGTATGACATTGTGTGAGTATCCTATCTTAAGGCCAGACCTGGGTTTTGCTGGGTAGTAACCTCCTCTGCATTTATCACAAAGTTGTGGGGTACAAGCTCCCTGTTCTTTAGAGGCATGGAGGCTGTCCAGCTCATTTCACTGTAATTGCTACTGAAGCAAATAAGTGCTTGTGTAAAATTATTATTAAATAGTGCTATTTCATTTAGTAAGTCGATTGAATCTTGTGCTAATTCTTCCTGTGAGAAAGAGTTTTCTCTTTTCTGAGGATTTGAGGTTGTTTTGTTTTTGCTTGGGTATTTTGTGTGTCTTCTGTTTGCTTTTTATATATTCCCAGAGTAAGTGAAAAGTCTTACTTGAAGGACAGGACTAAACACACATGCCTCAAACCTTTGTATCTGACATGCCATCCATGTGCATCATAGGGTGTAGGAATGTGACTGTTAAAATAGTATTTCTTTTACAGTTAGAAGGCTTCTATGTTTTTTTCCTTAATAGATGCAATATTTCTGCAGTATTTTCAAGTGCCTATCATCTGTCTATTCCAGGATACATGCATGTTTAAGAATATTTAATTAATGTGCTGAATTCCTGTTGTGACCTAAAGATTTTACTGTAAACTGCATATATTGAGTCATGATATTACTTCCCTTTTAAGACTTTGACCATGTGCTCAGCAATTCATAGTGACAAATTCATTTAACAAGCCATCAATGAAAAGCCAGGCTTAATGCATAAAGGTGCTGTTTATTTGAAAGAAACACTGTTTTCCCCAATTTCTTTTGCAGTCCTCCTGTGAAACACAAAGAGCAAACATAAATAATGATACAAGCTATTTTCCTGTACCAAGGCAATGTGTCAAGAGTTCACTGTTTGCCTCATTAAGAATGTCTCTGACTTTAGCTCCCCACTGTTTCAGTATAGGTGCATTAAAAGAACCTAAACAAGCAAACAATCCCCCCAAAATAAGTTGTAATCTTGGCAATATTAGCAAAAACCTGAAATAGGTTCCAAAACTCAATAATTTTAAGAAGTAGTGACTCAAATTCCAAGTTTCATGCTTGAAACCTACCAAACTTCATCTTGCTGACAGGCAGCAATGGTTTAGGTTGTTACAAGGCATAAAAAAGTGTAGTTTCCCTTCCTACTTGATTTCTATTTGCATAGACACTGGCTGGGGCAACTGTTGTGAACTTAAATATTGTTTTCACCTGGGAGACTGTGGTAATAGTTTTCATTTAAAATATCAAATATTTGCATATCCCACATTAAACTGGAGAATTAGGTGTATGTTGTTCTTTCAAAGGCTGCCACAGTTGCTCTGTTTATTTTCCTTGTACATGACTACTGAGTGGCACATGTAATAGCAGTCAGAGGCTGGGGATTTTGAATATTTTTATAATCTTTTACAGCAATCTCAGATTTTTTCTTTGCCATCTATGTTCTAGTGGAATCTAATATGTTATTGCCTAAGGACTAAAACTTTTTTTTTTTTTTTAAATTAACTACATATTGCCCATCAGTTTACATGGGTAATTCTCTTCATTAAAAACCAGAATTTCACTGGGCATCAGAAGTAGCCAGTAGCTTTTTAATCAGAGGGTTTATATAAGTTGAAACACATAATTTCCATTGCCAAAGCCTCGTTTCTTCACTGTGTAGTACCCATCTCGTATTTCTTGGTTTGAAATACCATCACATGCAAAAAAGTCAAGCAATACACAAATTATAATTTCCTGGTAATGTACTCTGCATGTTTGTTATGTCATATGTCATGACTGTGTTGTTAATGTGTCATACCATTTCATCTCATTCAACCAGGGTCCACCAGGGCGAAATGGCTATCCGGTAACTCCTCATATATTTATGATAGCAACTTATGGTTACTCTGAAATCCTGTTGGTATATTTTGGTTTCTCTTTATTACTGTCAAAAGGACCCTTATTTTTTTTTTTGTTTGTTTCTCAGATGTATGAAAAATGCAGGATTTCCCCTTAAAAACAAAGCAAAATAAAGAGCCTGTGACAAGTTTCCAAAAAGAACCAGACTATTTACAATGCATAAATGAGATGCACTCATTGTTTGATGTTGTACATATTTTGTGTTGAGTTTCTTCATTCTTCCATACAACAGTCATAATTAATTAATTAAAAAACATGCTAAGATACTGCATCTCAATTTTCTGTGTTAGAAAGTTGTAGTGTTGCCATTTGGAACCTCTGAGTCCTTATGGAACCTCTGAGTCTTTTCTTTTAATTCTCTCCTGTTTCACTTGACTGCATTGTTCAATGCATTTTGAGCAAGGTAAAGTGTTATGACAGAGGTCCTAGAAATTGGCTGCAGTGACTATCACAGAGTAATTTTTGATAATGGATATATTTCATTTTTTTGTCAGTTTCATTCATACCTTTAGGATTTATTGCCTGAAATATACATATATATATATGAAATAATGCATCTTTCTAAAATCTATTAATAATACATTTGTTTTGAGTAGTCAGGCAAACTGTCTGCAGTGTCCCATTCATTGAAAGAAGTATATGCCTGCTGTCTCATGGGTATTAGAAACCAAGTGACTAAATGTGATAATATATGTGCACAGCATAGTGACTGTTGAAGTATCATAATGATCTTATTTATAGCACTTGATAGTGTAGCTTAAAGGGCCCTCCCAGATTGATTTGCCTATGTTTTTCAGACAAAATATATGTAATTTTTCAGTGTGTTTTAAAAATGTTTCCACTGGTAAAATATAAATTGTATGCCTTGAGTACCTGCAATGAGAGGAGAATTTTGTAGAATCACAGACTCTCAAAATGGTTTGGGTGAGAAAGGAAATTATTGGATCATTTAGTTCCAATCACTTAGCCATGGGCAGGGACACCTTCCATTAGACCAGATTGCTCAAATCCATCCAGTCTGGCCTTGAACACTTAGAGAAAACTAAGATTGAGAAAACTTCTAGGGATGAGTCATCCATAGATTCTCTGGACAATCTGTTCCAGTATTTCATCACTCTCATAATTTAAAAATTCTTTCTAATATCCAGTATGAACTTTCTTTTAGTTTAAAGTCATTACCCCTAGTCCTGTCACTACAGACCTTGGTAAAAAAAAGTATATTTCTCCATACCTTCTTTCAGGGCCCCTTTTGGTATTGAAAGGCTGCAGTAACATCTTTCTGGAACCTTTTCTGGATAACCCCAGCTTTCTCAGCCTGTCTACGTAGAAGAGCTGCTCCATCCCTTTCATCATCTCTGTGGTCCCCTGGACTTGCTCCAACAGTCCATGTATTTTCTGACACTGTAGGCCCCAGAGGTGGGCACAGTAGTCCTGATGGGGTCTCACAAGAGTGGAGCAGAGGGAGAAAATCACCTCCCTTGACCTGCTGACAACACTTCATTTGATGCAGTCTATTTCAATGCTTTTACCTGGACAGACTCTGCAATTCCAGGGTGATGTCACCAATGGATCATCATCCAGTGTCCATATTTACAATTACAAGTAGTTGGAAGTCATCTGGTGAGGAGCTGATCATCAGTACCAAGAAACCTGCTTGGATGTACTAAAACCATTATCAAGTTTCCAAGTTCACATTCCAGTTTCTCTTAGAGTGATTGATGTGTGTAGATGAGTGGAAGTTGTTTTCTTGAAGAGATTTGTTGTGGGATCTGAAAACAATGAAGGTACTTCAGAGCCATGGAATTGAAATTGCTGTGTCTAATGGTGTTGTTATGGGCAAACTTAGTCTGAATGCATTTCTCCTCATGTGTGATGTGAACTGTCAGTAGTGCTTAGCACTTCACTGAGTGCTGCTTCTTCCTGGTTGAAAATGACTGGGTATAAAATTTGGCTTTGCTTTCTGAAAGTTGTCGCGTGGCTGAATGTTTCAGTCTTTTCAGTCACAGTCATACCCTCCTGCTTTGAATGGGAAATATGTAACTGCAAGTGCTATGTGCTTTAAAAGTGCTTTTACAGCCCTGTAGTGGTCTATTAGAAGGCTATTAGTGTTCTAAGTTATTTCTCCAGAGTCTTATTTAGCTCCTGTAGAAGCCTTTTTGCTTAAATCTGTATTGGATTTTATGGGATAGTCTGTGAGGATAGTGAGGTGTATCTGCCACATGTAGCCTAAACCTGGTGTAGCTCTCACAAAAGCAAGTGGCTGCTTTCTCCAAGGCTTACATTTTCTTTGAATATGTTCATTCTAGTTCTTAAAGATACTTTAAGAATAATTATAACAGTGAAAGGAATTGCAGTCAGAAATCAAAGTTCCCAGGAAGATACAGCATCAAAAATCAATAAAATAAGGGGTTTACTGCTAAAGAGTAACACAGTTATTAAGGGTTTTATAAAACCACAATTGACTGGTTATTATTTAAGGCACTAGTAGTAATAAAGAAGTGTACACTGGTACAACTCCTTTTTTTCCTCATAACAAGCTCTGTATAACAGAGTATAACAGAGGGTGAACAAATTCAGAGTTGTGAGTATTTCAGCTGGAGTTTAAAATTGAACTAGCCTATCACATCTACTCAAATAAAAGTGCACAAACATTGGAGAATGAGATGACAAGCAGCTTTTGCAGACATTTTGTATGACAATGTTGCTTTGTAAATAGTGCTGGAACTTGGAAAAAAGTAAACACACACACACACACACACACACATACCCTAAAGAAAACCCACACCAAACCCTCTACCCCAAAATTAC